CAATGTCAGAAATTATTGACCTGAGTCCCCCATAAAATATATAATTTTAAGAAATGCATAATAAATATTTTGAGGCAGGGCTTAAGCTTTCCTTCCTTTTTTCTTATGTACTAGAAATCAAACTTACAACCTCATGCTTTCTTTTTTCCTTTTTGTTAGAACCTCCACATCTCATGCTTTCTAGGCACCAAACTTTCTCAGTCCTCTTCTCTCAGGCCCCTAGGTTGTCAGCATCACAGGCATGTGTCACCTACTTTACAAAGTGTTTGAAAGAGTCAGAGAAGCAACTTGATGCAAAATGTTTGGCTCATAATAAACAAGTGCTGGTTGTTATTGCTTTTTAAGCTTTACTGTGGAGACATCAAGCCCTGTAGTCCAAGAATACTGAAGCTCCTGGGAAAACAACCTCCTGCTGCCAGCCTCCTGGTCCTTTTCCCCAGACCACCCCACTGTGCCGGGGGCCTGGTAATGAAGGCCCCTGTTTCCATCCTGGACAGCTAGATTAGTGAGTGCACTGAGTGGACGCTACACTGAGAGCCTGGAGGGCTGGCATCCAGCTGAAACCCCTGACGTGAGGGGCGCTCACCTTGAAAGCTGTATCTTATGTCACCAGCACCTGGGGTGGCAGAATCTCCAGGCCATTTGGCAGCTTCTCCATTCCAGGAAGGATGTGGTCATGCAGTCCAGCTGGCTTCAGCATCTTCACCCATGAAAGAAGAGCACTAATGACACGGTGCCTAATGGGTAAGTCTCAAGAGTGTTCCCCTGCCAGGGAGAAAGCTCAGTAGAATAAGTGCTTGCCTGGGAAGTGCAAGGGCCTGAGTTCAATCCTCGGTTCCACCAAAAAAAAAAAAAAAAAAAAAAAAAAAAAAAGAGTGTTCCCCTGCAAATTGTGCAAATGGTCTGGGAATGGGCTTTTTTCTGTTTAGCTCTTATTGCTGGCTAGTAACAGTACTACATGCTTAACAGGCATTATGTCACTGTAATCCTGAAAACAAACTTTATATCGATTCAATGTTCTCACCCTTACTCTACCAATCAGGAAATTGAGGCTGCCCAGGATCACACAGCCAGGATGAGGCAGAACTAGGGACCTTGGTCCTCCTCCCAATGCCACCTCCGGGACATCCTCATATTGCCCAGCCCCATTAAATCACCAGGCTTGGCTTGTCCCCCAAATCATTAGTGATGCTTGAAAGCCATTGTCCCGTTTTTGTTTCTGAGAATGTCTGTCTTCTTCATGCAAAAGCCTGTTAATGTCCAAGCTCCAGTTGCCATGTTAAAGCCACTGTTCCAGGATTACTATGAGAATCAAATAAGTAAATACAGCCCCTGTTTTTGGTCCCTCCTAGTACCTGCTAGGATGCATTTAAATGTCTAAAATATGACTTACCAGGTGTGGTGATGCATGACTAGAAAGCAGATTGCTGTGAGTTCAAGGTCGGCCTGGACACATAGCAAGACCTCAAAACAAACAAACAACCCCCCAAATTTTTGTAATGTGTCTCACAGTTATATCCCAAGTTGCTAAGATTGTGTCTAGCACAAATGTTTGTGGAACAGATAACATTTGTAAAGATGAAGCCTGCCAGGCTCACAGCTGATCTGCAACAAATTAAATATACATACACACATGTGTGGATAAAATGAACTAGGGAGAAAAGGGAAATCTGAGGGAACTCTCACGGGGCTTTGGGCTCTCCAGAAATCAATGCTGTGGCAAGTGGGATGTGGGATAAACATTATTTGGTGTTTAATCTTTATTTATTTATATATATTTTTTCATTTTATATATTTGGCACAGGGTCTCACTATGCAGCTCAGACTGTGATCCTCCTGTTTTTAGCCTCCCTAGTGCTCAGATTACAGACGTGTGCCCCCATGCCAGGACTTGGTCGCTGGCTCAGCGTGCCCTGGGAGCGGGCCAGCACAGCGTGCGGGATCAGAGCTCAAACCCTGGTCTCTGAGCTTGCCAAAGCAGGTGCTTAGTTCGCTGAGCTGTCTTGTCTGCCTGGTAAACATTATTTGGAATCAAAGAGTTGAACCTAATCCAGCTTGACAATTACCAGGTTGGAGGCAGGGCCCTGGGTGCTTACTGCTGGGGTGTCTGGTTAATCTCCACTTTCCAAGTGGGTGTTCAAAGCAAGCTCAACACCCCCAGAAAGATCCTTGACAAAGAGTCCTCCTTGATCAAATTCTACTTCAGTTCCCCTGAATTTTGCAATTAGGCCTGGACTTTTGGACCTGTATGTTAATCTGTGTATTGTTCAATTTTAGCAAGAGTCCTGTTAACTTGGGTTTAGCTAGAAGCCCCCATCCTTCAGCTCTGATCACCAGGGATATCTGCTCAGTTTTTTTTTTCTCCTTCCTATGGGCCAAGGTGATGCTCAATTACCCACATTCTGTCTCTCTTTAGCGAGAATCATCTAGGTCAGTGTAGGCCTAACTCCCTACTCTTCAAGTTTCCTCTTAGTAATTTTTTACCCTTTGACCCCCCTCTTCACTGCCCGGTTATAAATTCCCAGTCCCCCATGCCGAATTGGGGGGGGGGCTATGTATCATGCCACATCCGGTCCCCACACTTACCAGGAGGAGCTTCCTTGAATAAAGTGCCCTGGCCAGTGTCATTTAAGGTTTTTTTCTTTACCCTCCCACCAGCCCCCCCATGCACCAACCCAGCCAAATATGCAACAGCTTCCTCTGGAGCGTCGCTGGTCCTCCTGACGAAAAGGGCACAGAGTCCGGGAAAGCAGGGGGGGTGGGCTTTTCAGTTAGATGAGGAAGGGTGGTGGAGCTGGGTTTGTCAGACATCAGACATACACAACTGCCAGACGTGAATGTCCTAAAGGCAAAGGGCACTGTTACTAGAGAAAGGAAAGGTGCATTCCAGGCACGAGCCTGCACGGGGAAGTGGGGGGGGCTCCTGAACGCCCCTCCCCCTCCCTTTCCCCTCCCTCCCCCTCCCCTCTCGTCCGCCTTCCGCCCCCTCCCCCTCCCCTTCCCGCCCCTTCCCAGGTGCCGCCCACCCGGGCGCGGCGAGCGCGGAACCGCGCGCTCTAGGACCGAGGAGCGGAGCTGCAGGGAGACGGGGCCTCCTGCGGCAGCGGCCGCGAGCGAGGGAGCCGCGGGGCCGGGGCTGAGATGAACGCGGGGCGCTCGGGAGCCACGAGGACCCAGCTGCCGGGGCGGCGGCGCGGGGAGCAGGATGCGGCCGCCCGTAATTAAATAGCATTTACTCTTATTATTACTAATAATAATAATAACGTAATCATACCTCTAGTCATAGCATACCACTTATCGGGCTCGGCGCAGGCCCGTGGGGAGCGCAGCCCGGCCGAGGTGAGTGCTGGGGAGGACGGGGCCCCGCGTCCCAGGCGGGCGGCGGGGTTCAGGGTTGGGGCGCCCGGGATCGGGGAGGAGGCGCGGAAAGCCTCGGTCCAGGCCAGAGCCGCGCCGCCCTCCTGGAAATGGGGTTTATGTAAAAATAAAGCAACAGCCCATCATTCCCATGAGCTCGTTTTTGAGGATCCCTCCCTCTCTCCAGCCCGGTACCATGCTGCCCCAAAGTTTCAAAGTTATGGTGCTGTCCGGGGGCACCTGCCGCTGGGGAGATGGCGCTGCCTCTGCAACCCCGGGGGTGTCTTGGGATTTTCTTCTATGGGTAGGTGGAGGGATCTTTTCTAGGGGTCTGGAGCTTTGGCGCTACGAGGATGCCTTCCTGACTCTGAACAGAGGGTGGAAGGATTGCAGCCCCCCTTCCCCCCTTTCCCTTTTGTGTTTGTCTGGGTTCTGCAGTGCCTGGAACTGAAGGGGCCATGGCGAGGACCAGGGAATGCGGCCGTGCCATGGGCCACCCTCGCCGGCTGCGCCTGCCACGCAAGTCCGGGGATCTGGGGCCTGTAGCCCGCCGGGCCCTGCCAGAGGGGGCGGCAGGAAAGGGGGGCGCGGTCTGGGTCCGGCGGGCAGGAGGGCATTTCCTGTGGCAGGATCTGTCACTGCGCTCAAAGGGGTGACCAGCTGCTGGGCTGAGGGGACAAGGGGGTGCAGAGCTTTGCTCGGGTGCCTGGGGCTGGGGGCTTAGGAGACCCTGAGCCTACTCACTACCCCCACCCCCAGCTATCTGGGGTCCATTGCAGGACCTACCCCTTCCTCCTTTGCCTCTAAACTTGTCTGGTTATTTATAAGGTCCCCGGTTTGGGGGGTCCTTCACAGAGAGACAAAGCGGGTTTCCCAGGAGGAAAAGGATACTGTAGAAACATTTCCGTCTGGTAGAACAGGATGGCTCTGGTGCCAGCATGGCACTAATGGGAAGTCTGGGGGCGGGGGCTGTAGCTTGGAGAGGGGACGAAGAAGCTGGGGGCTCGCGGCGGTGTGAGCCGGGATTTAGTTTATTGCTCTGGTTGCTGGCCGGGACTTTGGTTTCTGGGCACGAGACTTGAAACCCAACTTGCTATTTTCCTCAGTGCCTGCAGTTCACCCAGTCTGATGAAAATAGCAGAATGCAGATCTTTGAATTTTCACACAAATGCGATAATTATAGTACATTTAGCAACTGTGTTGGACACAGAATTCTAGTGGAATCTTTCATTCTACTACCAAGACTACACACACACACACACACACACACACACACACACACCATGCCTTCCCTGGTCTTTGTCCCTGCTTCACCTCACTGTGGAAGTTGGCTTCAAACTAGAAATGATGCCAGGCCCAAGCTTGGTTGGCGCAGGTTTGAGACTAGGGGTGTCTTGGGCTGGGAAGGAGAAGCCTGTGCCCCCGAGAGAGGAGACCTGAGGAGGGAGAGAGGAAGCTTCTTGATTCCTGAGCTGGAATAGGGTTTGTGTTCCGTGAATGCTGTGAGTTGGAGCTGGTGGGGGCGCTTTTTGTTGAGGTTGAGCCGGTCAGATTGGGTTTGGTGACTGTCTGGAGCCTAAGAAGTTCTTTGGGATGAGCTGATCTCTTGAGGTATAGGAAAGTTGAGGCATCAGAGGGTTTGAGTTCAAGAATATAAAAATGAATTCTTTCAGTAGCGCTTGTTGGTTTATAATGAAAGAACATGCATGTGATTTGGCTTGTTGGCCCTGCACGGTGATTGTATCAGGGAGCCATTTTCAGTTCTCCTTGCAGGGGAGAATCCTGAGCCTTAGCCAAATGCACGTCTTGCTGGAAACTGACACAACAGAGTGAGGAGTCCGGTTTGATATTCTGACTCCAAATGATCACCCTTTACCTAGCCAAAGGTACTTTTCAATGATTCCCAGGGGAGAAGCTGTGGGGCAGATTTGAGCCAAAGTCATAGCCTGGCAGGAAAGGCCAAGTTAGTTCTAAGGATTCAGTGAGAAAATGACAAAATGCCCAACTCTAAGGTCAGCACATTGGAAGCCAGAGCTGAGGGTAACTTGAAAAATCTGGGGAAGACTTCATGTAGCAAGTGGACTTGTGCTTATGAGAATGGGGGGCTTGGCCAGGTTGGGGGAAGAGGAGGGGAAGCCCTGGGTTCCCATGGTTACCTCAGTGCTGGGAGGTTGACTTGCCATCTTTGTAATTCTGTAATGGGCATTTTTATCTCCAATTCACTGATAAGGAGGAACACAGGATTTGTGTGGCCGTTGTAAGTTCACCCTGCTAGGGCTCCTGATTCTTAAGGGTGCAGCAGCTCTCACTAAAAGGTTTCCCATCTTGTTCTGCTGAGCTAGCTCTGTGTCCCAGTGACACCAGCTGGCCTAGCAGAGAAGACTGAGGTGGTGGCAGGAGGATCCAAGGTGGAGATCTGAGGTTGGTTCCTTAGTGTCTGCCCAGGGCCCAGCTGCCACCTTGGAAGAGCCTGGCCAATCTTATTTGGCCATAATGCAGATAGGGATAATTAATCAGAACTTCCCAAGGACAGGAGCTGAGTGTAATACAGGAGCTGGGTCTAATCAGACTCTGTGCCTCCAGGCCTACTGGATGTTGCAGGAGGACACATAGGGCCATTATGTTGTCAAATTGAATTATGCCCCAGTGTGAAGGAGGAGGGTTTGTTTTGCCTGGAGTGGAGGGCTTCCTAGAAGTGCCATGTGACATTTGAAAGCCAGAATGAGAAAGCCAGGGAAACTGTACTCCAAGCAGAGACAGATACACACAGACAGGGAGTGGACAAGAGGGTGGGCTCAAGTCAGGCTCTTTATTATCTGCACTTTTATTTATTTATTATTATTTTTGGTGGAACCGGGGATTGAACTCAGGCCCTTGTGCTTGCCAGGGAAGTGCTTATTCCACTGAGCCATCTCCCTGGCCTCTATTTATTTTTATTTTTTGTGGTACTGGAGATCGAACTCCGGACCATGTGCTTGTGAGGTAGGTGCTTTATGCCACTGAGCTATCTCCCTGGCCCTGAGTTCTTTAAGTTTTTTTTTTTTTTTGCAGAACCAGAGATTGAAC